AGGGTAATCACCTTCAAATTTTTGTCTCTGTGCAGTATGACTGACCTTTCATAGAATCATAGAACCAGAGAATTGTTTGGGTTGGAAGGGACTTACAGATCATTCAGTCCCAACTCCCTGCCATGGGCAGGAACACCTTCCACTGGACCAGGTTGCTCAAAACCCCATCCAACCTGGCCTTGGACACTTCCAGGGATGGAGTATCAACAAGCCTGGACAACCTGTACCAGTGCCTCACCATCCTACCAGTAAAAAATATCTTCTGTATATCTAATCTATATTTTCTTTCTTTCAGTTTAAATCCATTATTTCTTGTCCTATCACTACATCACTGTTTCCTTAAAATACTTGTCACCAGCCAGACTTAATATAAGTTATACTGAAAAAACAATTAAAGGACAGCTCTGGGAGCAGAAAGGTCAGGTCTGAGCTTGGGCAGATGGCTGGCTCTGTATCTCACTGATGTTTGGAAAAAGCAAGGCTGGTATATAGGTCTGAGTTCATTTAATGCCCATGTATCAACATGAAAATTTCACCTTCTTCTTGTCCATTTCAACTTTCAGTGTCAAGGTCAAGAACTGAGTAATCTGTCCTCCTGGCCTGGGCAGTGAATACAGCGTAAGAATTATTCGTACAGTTTTTTTTATTCCTCCTATGAATAAGAGGGTCAATGTACCAAAAGCCACAGTTCAGACATACTTTCAAGATAGCATCAACACAGCCTGAGTCAGTTTGTAATGGTATGTTTTGTGTCAAACCACTGAGTTATTAATGTATTGGGATTTCTGACTCTCTCCTTGCAGTCAACAAATACGTGGTCCGGGTTTTTACTGGTGAAGTCAGTGGCAGTGGAACAGATGCTGATGTCTTCATTAATATCTTCGGTGAGAAAGGAGACACAGGTATTCAAATGCAAATCATTTCCTAAAATATTTTCTCCTGCTCTGCAGGCCTGTGATCTGAACAACACACAATGGCAATCTGGCAAATGCAAAATAATTAGACTGAGTGAAAGGCACAACAAATGGTGTTAGCTCAGGCTTGTCACATGCACAGCTTCTGGAAGCTGTATCTGCAGTGCAGCAGTCATGGTTTGGCTGTGAGCATGACTCAAGTTACCTACCACTAAAAGCCTCAAACCCTGGGAAAATGCAGCATAAACAACCAGCAAAAGCAATGCAGTACATGCCAGTCCATTGAGGGGTCCAACACCAAGATGTGTTTAAAGTGCTGGTATTGAGAGATGCTTATCCCATTTTCTAGATCCCTGGATGGATAATGATGATCCTGTGGTGTAGCAAAGGTTGCAGCCAAACCTGCTCAGATGTTTGAAAAAATGATCTAATTAAGGTTTATATTAGTTGGCTTTAAATTAATGGTGTTAGCTATTATTATTGTTGGTGGTGTTACTACCACTAAATCTAAATTGTACTACAGCATGGTCTAGGAACATTAATTTCTTTTAAAAAAAAAAAGTAACTAAATAACATTAAAAAGTGTGCTAAAACCAAACTCATGGAGTCATAGAGAAATGTGGGCAGAAATTCCTGGAGACCCAGAAAGCAAACATTCACTCTCTTCTGCATTGCACCTATCTTGTGAAATTCAAAAAATAATTATATGATATCTGCCAAGTGTCCTTGAACAGATTATGAAACCTAGTAGACAGGGCTCATCCTTGATTAATCCTCCAGACTTTTACAAAGGGATTCATCTGATCTCACTGGAGACATCCAAAAGTGGGAGTCTAAATCTAAGCTGATTGTCCAGGCACTGTCATATCTACACAGAAAAATAACATCCCTAGAGAACAATTCATCCCTTTCTAAGGCAAGTGGAATGAATTGATCACTGACACCTTTCCCTGCATTAGTGCCTTGGGTGGGTTCAATCCCACTCACAGCATCACTCACACAGGAGCAGTTTCGCCTGCAACCTGGGTCAGAGCTTTAATACTTTCCATGAAGGCAATCTGCTGTGAGATCAGGAAAAAGCCAAGAACCCTGGCTGGGTCCTAATTTGAAGGTAAACCCTTCCTGTCGGATACAGCAAAGAATACTATGTCCTGAAATGTCAAAATCTGCAGCTTGTGACCAAAGCCTTTTTTAAACAGTTAGATTTTCAAAGACATTAAAAATAAAAGGGAAATGTGGTGGTATGAAAAAAAAATAAATAAGAGCCATCTGGATATATATTTCTGAAAGCTCTGAGTAACTGTGTAAAGTAACTGTGACATTAGAATGGAAATCCTGGTCTTTTGTGTGCTTAAGCAAAGGTACCTTTTTATTAGAATGTAAAGTCCTTTGCCTTTACCTTAAGTCCTGGTTGCAGAGAGCTGATACCTGGGGAATATTTGATTCAGTCAGTGATGGCATTTCTAATTATTCTTTCACTTACAAGCATGCATGTGCCAGTAACTCTTTCCTCCTTGGAGTTATTTATTTGTTTATTTATTCTCATTTCATTTTTTACTTCCCCCCCTGCTCAGGTGTGAGGAAACTGGACAATGACAATGACAACTTTGAAAAAGGAGCAGAGGACAAGTTCACACTTGATGCACCAAATCTGGGAAAATTAAGAAAAATCAATATAGGGCATAATAACAAGGGTGGCTCTGCTGGCTGGTTCCTCTCAAAGGTTAGTTACTCCTGAGACATTTAACAAAAGCATATTGTGGTGTCAAAATGTCTCATTTATACTCTCTGGGTGTAATGTAAGCAAGATTGCTGGTGACACAGGCTACTGAGGACGTCACAAATTAAGTTTTCATCTTTCCAGAAGTTTCCTCTCCAGCACTTGTTTTTTCTGCAGAACAAAGAGGGCTGGCAGCAGCCTGGTGTATGCCAGTGTGGTGCATCTCAAACCACGTGCAGCAGATTCAAATTGGGTAGTTTGGTTTTAAACTAAAAAAGGACTGACCTGGATTAGATACAAGGAAGCCTTTTTTAGAAAAGAGGTGATGAAACACTGGCACCTAGAAAACAGGGTAGTTTGATGTATTACAAATGCAAATATTAGCACATGCCTTTCAAACATTGTCATACACTGCAGAGAAAGTTAGGATGTTTGTTGTCCATAAACACAGAAATGAAAAGCACAGTGGTTGTGCTCAATGTAATAAATAGTGGGGGAAAAAAAGCAAAGAAAATGATCCTCATTCTCATATTACAGGTGACATGACATGAAATTTGATGCTGGTTAGGTTGCTTAAGTCCCAAAGCCTGAGGCAATGACTAGTTGCAGCCAATACACCAGACCTGTGTTCTACCACAGAAGATGCTGAGACATTACTGATTGCATAAAAAGCAAATTTTGCTTTGCAAGTTCAACTGGAGATTTAGAGAACTGAGCTAAAGCAGCTCGGTTATTGTCTACTGTTAGGGTTTTTTTCTGTAATTTGTTCCAATACTTGAAGACTAGCGCCATCACTCTGAGACAAATCTGTTCTCATTTTTCTTGTGTTTTCAGCATGGCTTATACCCAGAGATGGTTTTCCACCTCTAAATATATGAATAAACCTATGAAAGGAGCTCAAAGAGGATCAGCTGGTAGAGGGAAATCAGAGTGTTGGTATTTCTCCTGAACCTCGTTTATTTTAGTCTATAACACTCCAACACACCACTGCACTCTCATGCCAACAATCCCAGCACTGGCAGACACTGCTGTCAGTGTCTACAATGAGATACAATGAGAATCAGTAATGCTACAAGCAGCAGCATGGTGGAGTGACAGGAGGGAAAGCTCTGTTTCCCAAAGAATGGTTTCATAAATTTATCAGAAAGGACAGATTTCAGATTCTCCCTATTTGTTGAGAAAAGTGTCAAGGGCTTTCTATCCATAATAGTGATTTTTTCCCCTCTGAGACATAAGCCATGCAGAGGAGTAGAGATTTTTATTTCTTCTCTTATAACTGAAATCCTTCATTACTCTTCCCTGACTCTCTCTTCTCTGATGGTTTAAACCATCTTCTCTGATGGTTTAAAATACTAAAGCAACTCTATCACAGGCTTCCGGAACTGAGAAAATTATCTTGGTAAGATGACCTCAGCAGGAGGTGCAAAAAACTACAATTTAGTATTAAAGGGAAAGATCGTTCCCCAGCTTGTTTCAGTAAAATATCACAGAATCCTAGAACTCTTTGGTTTGACAGGGACCTTAAAGCTCATCTTGTTACAGTGCACCTGCCACAGGCAGGAACACCTTCCACTAGACCAGGTTGCCTCAGGCCCCATCCAGCTCATCTTTGAACACTTCCAGGGATGGGGCAACCACACCTTCCTTGTGCAGACTGTGCAGTGCCTCACCACCCTCATAGGCAAGAGTCTCTTCCTAATACCTAATCTAACCCAGCCCTCTGTCAGTGTAAAGCTATTCCTCTTGCTCTGTCACTCCCTGCCTTTGTCCAAAGTCCCTCTCCAGCTCTCTTGGAAGCCCTTCAGGCACAGGAAGGGGCTCTATGTTCTACCTGGAGCCTTCTCCTCTCCAGGCTGAACACTCCCAGCTCTCTCAGGCTGTCTCCATAGCAGAGTTGCTCCAGCCCTTGAAACATCTCTGTAGCCTCCTCTGGGCTTGCTCCAGCAGCTCTACATCCTTCTGATGTTGGGGGCTCCAGAACTGGAGGCAACACTGAAGGCAGGTTCTCATCTCAGCAGAGCAGAGGGACAGAATCCCCTCCTCACCTGCTGCCCATGCTGCCCAGGACACAGGGTGTTTCTGGGCTGCCAGCACAATGGCTGGGGCTTGTTGAGCTTTGCATCCACCCACACCCCCAAATCCTTCTCCCCAGGGCTGCTCTCAATCCAGCCTGTACTTGTGCTTGGGGTTGCCCTGACCCAAGTGCAGGACCTTACACTTGTCCTTGTTGAACTTCATGATTTTTGCATAGGTCCACCTCACTGATGGTCCAAGAGCCAAATTCTTCTAAACTAGAAACTGTACCTACCACAAGGTTTCATGGATGACTTAGCAATGGTTCCATCCTGGAGTAACTGATTGGGATAAAGTGGTTTTACTAGATCACACATGCTGATCTGATGGTCTTGATTTGTCCTGAAATTTCTTGATATTATTTTATAACAAGATTCTAAAAGAGAGAGAAAGAACACATCCTGTTCCCAAAACAGAACAAAGAGCTGTCGTTCAGCTGATGCAGAAGAGTAGCCAGCAAAAACAGGCTCTGGAGAGAGGAAAACAGGCCATTCAGCTGGTCTTGCTAACAGACACATCAGGTCTCATACACTGCAAGAGATGCAGAGTGAATTCACTGGATTAAAAAAAAAAGAAAAGAAACAGGCTGGGTTTTTACTCACTGATTGTTTCAAATTCTATCAGTACTAATTAGGTAGCAGAGAGGGATCTGCATGAGTATTGAATATGTTAAATATCAGGTGAGAGTGTGTACATTCAGCTTCTGCTCTTCTGCCACCCGCTCATGTAATGCCTTTGCTTCTCTCATGTTATTTTTCAGAGTTCTGTTTCTTTTCTCTTAGGTGATCATTGAGGACATTGGCAATAAATGTGTGTACCAATTCCCAGTTGGACGCTGGTTTGCTTTAGATGAAGATGATGGAAAAATCCAGAGGGATATTCTTGTTGGGGGCACTGAAGCCACAGGTAAAGTCTGTGAATCTGTGAAAGCTGAATCTGTGGTTGGAAACATGAAGTTAATGCTACTAGCCATGCTTTCTTTAGAAGACTGAATGCCTCATGCTTAGGGAGACCTGCAGTGAATCATCTACTGGTGACAGGTTGTTTTGTGAGAGAGTCCTTGAACTACTGTCACATTTCCCATCTCTGTATCTCACTGGTGAAGCTGCACAGGACCTACATACTGGTTTATCACCTGATGCATCTGGATAAAGGGCTGATGGGCCCTGATCCAGCTTGTACTTCAGCAAGTTGCTCACTAGCTTTCAGAAAGTGGTTTGCTATTTCCACAGTCACCAAAGTGCCACACAGTAGTGAGTATTGCACTGTTCAGGTTCTTGTCTGGGGAGCCAATAATCCTTTTACAAAACAAGAAAGGCAGCGCTGAGCCCTAAATCAGTCTTTTTAATTATCCAACATGGTTAAGGCAAAGACAACCCAAGTTTATGTCTCTGTTAAAAGAAACCTGGATGTATAGTTAATAAAAGAACTTACCATAAGGCAGAAGACTACTTGGATAATGTTCTGCCTGTATTCATTTCTGAGCATAAAGGCAAACACTTAGTCCATGCATGTAACAGCTTTTCTTCACTTCCTTGCATGGACTGCATGCAACTGAACCCTGCAGTCCTTGTATTCTCCCCTGCATCTGCACAAGGAAAGTGGTCTGGGTGCAGATTTCTGTCTGCAGGATGCTTGTTGGGAAAAATTAGGGGAAGGTGGGAAAGAAATCTGAATGAAATTAAATTAATTCACTGAAAGCTTCCCTTACATTTTACCATTCATGATGTGCATGTTTTTCCTGCTCTCATGAGATTTGCTGAAGATATATCCACAATAAAACATGCTTGAATACAACTTTTAACATAAGTTTCAAAGGGAGGATTGTTTAGAGGAGAATGAGTTCTGATGTTTCTATGTCATCCAAAGTCCCTATTGAAATATCTGTGTGATTAATCAAAGAACTTAGTTTGGGCCCTGTCTATTTTATACATACTCTCTAAAACACTGTCATGAGACAGGTCTAAGATGTGCCGATCTACGAACCTTCTGAGAAGTAGGGCTTGTAGGAAGAAGTGTTTGCTTTCTTAGACCAACAACGAGAGCTACAAAAAAAACCAACAACTCAAAGACACTTTTATGCATATAGGCTTCTTTCCATAGATATTTTTCTTTCTTCCAGCTGGGCTAATACCTCTCCCAAACCTTGCTTTGCTGAGATCTTTGGGCTCTCACAGTGACTGTGAAGGTCCTGCTGGCTTCAGCAGCATTATTGGCTGCTGACCCCCTTCCAAGGGTTTTGTGATGCTGCAGATCTTGCTACCACTACTTAAAGCAACACTTCTCCATCATCTCAGCATCCTCTGAGATGTTTGGTGCTTGATGTCTCTCAAAATCAAGCAACTTAGTTGCCAATTCAAATTATTTTTGCCTTTCTTCACCTAATCATCACCACATGGTGAACAAAAAACCCCATATTTTTTTCCATTGGGCCATGTGACAGGGAGTTTTTCACCATAAACCTGTTTCTCTTGGACAGTCTGAAGGCAGATGTGTGTTTCTCAGAGGTATGTGTGGGAGAAAAACAAGTGAAGCATTGCACTATGTGTGTAGGTCAAAACCTAAAAAAGACTCACCGGAAACCAGTAGAGTCCAACGTAAATCAAGTCAAAACCATAATCTTTAGAGTCTTTTCCTCCCTTCTTTATTCCCTAACCAAATTCTGGATTCCTTCAGGTATTGTGTACAATGTGTCTGTAGTGACAGGAGATATCAGAGGAGCTGGCACAAACTCCAAGATCCACGTAATCCTTCATGGCTCCAAAGGCTTGAAGAACAGTGGAACGATTTTCTTGGAAGGAGGTGAATTTGAGCGTTCCAGGACAGATGTCTTTAACATAGAGATAGCTGCTCTTCTCAGCCCTCTCAGCAGAGTCACCATTGGGCATGATAATTGTGGTGTCAGTGCTGGCTGGTTTTGTGAGAAGGTGAGACTAAATTATCATGAATTTATTGAATTGTGTAGCTTGGAAAAGACCTCTGAGGTCATAGAGTCCAACCATTAACACAGCACTGCCATGCTGTTTCTCTGTAGGCAGCTGTCAGACTGTTTCCAATTCATAACCTGACCCCAACAACTAGATAGGTTTAAAAAATAAATACATAAATCTGCTTTTGTTTGAATGGCAATGTCCCCGGTTTAACAAGTCAATGTTATACATCATGCATGGGAGTAGCTGATTGCCTCAGAGGCACATTAGATGCATAAGTCAATCACTCGCTAATTGGGTTGATTGCCCCTCTGCAGTCACAAAGATAGAGATTATTGTTTGCTTAGCTCCAAAAGCACCTTCAGATGTTCACCCAAGGGGCCAGACAGAAATGTGGTCTTGGATTGTGCTGAGCATTTCAAAGTTATCATCTACACTCAGACTTCCCTGAAGTTTCTAGATGCTGCTTTGGAGCTCAAAGGGGAAAAAAAAAAAAAGAAAGAAAGAAAAAGTGGCTGACCACAGCTGTTACTGGGAAGTATGGGAGCAATATGTGATGTGATTGTGTACAAGGTCAGCAGGAGGTAATAGAAAGGTGGGGAGAAAGTAAGCTGGGAGGAGATGTAGTTTTCATGAAAATCTAATTCAGTTTAGGATGTGTTTGAAGGCTTTTTGTATCTTGTGTTTCCTGCAAAGCTGTACCGTGCACTGGCATGGTGCAGGGAATGTGCTGCACACTGACTCAATGCTGACTCGCAGTCACACCGCCTGTTCCTGTTCCATTCTCCTCCTGGTGCTTCACCTCTTCTTGGTTGACCCATTTTGATGTACTGCCTCAAAAGTGGGAATAACAGGACAGATGGATTCTAGCTATACTCCAAATAAGGAATTGTACAATCAATCCAGCTCATGCTGGTCCAGAAAACCTGATTTTTGAGAGCAGGACCAAATCTCCAACTCTGTCTTTTCTTTACTTATTTCAGTATCAAGGTCCTGTGGGCTGCCAGTAACAGAATATTCAAACTCACCTTCCCAAGTTCTTTTTTCAGGTGGTGGTTTACTGCCCATTCACCGGTATTGAGCAAACATTCCCATGCGGAAGATGGCTGGATGAAGATGAAGGAGATGGTCTTATAGAGCGGGAACTATACGAAATGGTCTCCTTACGCCAGAAAAGACTGAAAAGTAGGTACAAAGGTCCATTGTTCTCCCTCTTACAAGCAATATCACCCTGAGTATCACCTGAGTGTCATAGGTAGACCCATGGTCAAACAGAGGCTCAAATGAATTGAGTAATTGAATCGTAGAATGGTTTGGATTGAAAGGGATATTTGAAGGTCATCTGATTCCAATCTCCACACTTTCCACATGACCAGGTTGCTCCAAGCCCCACCCAGGAATGAGGTGGCCACAGCTTCTCTGGACAACTCTGTGCAAGTTCCTCACCACCTTCAGAGCCAATATCTTCCCAATATCCAGTCTAGCCCTGTCCTCTGACAGCGAGAAGCCATTTCCTCATGTCCTGTCACTCCTTGCCCAAAGTCCCTCTCCAGCTCTCCTGGGAGCCCCTTTAGGCACGACAGGGGCTCCAAGCTCTCCCTGTAACGTTCTCTTTTCCAGGCTGTACACTCCCAGGTCTACCAACCTGTCTTCATAACAGAGGTACTCCAGCATCCCCACATACTTGGAGCATCTTCATGGCCTTCGCTGAACTCGTTCCAGCAACCCCTCATCCTTCTTATCTTGAGTTATGTCTTTTAGCTTTAAAATGAAAACTCTACAATATTTTGAATAATTACACTCATTTTCTTAAGGGAAGAAACTAGACCTTCCAGGGTTCACTGGGCTTAGGGTGCCTTAGACACCATCTTACATTTGCACACAAGCCAGGCTACACTTCCTATCAATACAGAAGCAAATTTTTCTTATTCTAGATGGAAACAAAACCTAAATATAATAAGAAGACAAACTTGAGGCAAAAACTGGTAGAAAAGCTAAACTCTTCCTGTTAGCTTAAACTTTTTTATTCTTGACCTTATAGAAATAACAGTTCTTAGGCTTGTCCAGCTGCTAAATGTACCTCACAAAACACATGAGTGCTGAATTTGAAGCCTTTTCTCTAGATGGAGACAGTAGCACACATTTGCTGGGAGGAGCTGCTCTGTGCCATGCCGTACAGCGTATGGGTATGTTTATCCATCCACACATGCCCCAGCACCAGCCTCGTTTTCTGGCTGGTTTTGCACCAAGCAAAACTCATCACTGCCTTCTCACCTGAGACAATGTCGATGTGTAAACAAAATGTTTTAGTTAGGA